GCTCTTCAGCATGCTGATCTGTAACGTCACTTGTACTGTTGCCTGCCAGCTGGAGCGAAGGGCGAATTGGGGCTCTATCAGGCTTTCTCAAGATACTCTGCATTTCGTCAAAGTTCAAGTCTAGATCGAAGACTTTAGATGGGCTTGATTGAAGAGGTGCACCCGAGGCAGAGCTGGCTGACTTTCGGCGCGAGGCGTCCAGTACCTTGTCCAGTTGATGCGAGCTTTCCTCAGAAATGGAAGCATGACGAGATACGTGGTCAGAACCAGCGGGATTGACGTGATGGTGGTGCAGGGATATCGAAGGGAGCCTGAACTTGTGCTTGGAAGAGCTTGTCGAACCCTTGTGCTCCGTTGGAGCAGTAGTGGTGGCCGATTGTTCGCTAGGCTCTGAGTCCTTGCGGTTTGAATGAATGAGCTTGTTGAGCAAGCTGGAGCCCTTTTTACGGAAGCGGGGCTTGATGGGCTGGCTCAAGGGGGGCACATTTGCCTGTGGTGCCTTGGTTCCGTGGAAACCTCTGTGGTTGTTTTTGAGGACACTGTCGTCGCTGGCTTGGTCCTTTTCTCTCAGAGACTCTGGCAGCTGGGGCATCAGAACCACCAGCAGCCTTGGCAGGTAGTTGTCGGCGGTGTTCGTGCGGTAGAAGCCCGGTCTTCCCTGGCCCGGCTGCTGGTCATCTTGAATCACGGAGCCGGACGAATGGGACCTCACTTCAAGGCGGCCAGGACCTTGGTGCTCCAGCGAGCCCAGGCCCAGCAGCAGCACGGGCAGTAGCAGACCCAGGCCCTCCTTGGCCGCACCAGCTTCTCTGTTTTTCTGTGACAAGGGCGTAAAAGTCACATTGGACCCAAAAGACGTGTTTGTGGGCAGCGGTTCAGGCACGCTGGCCGACTGGGCAAGGACACTGGGCTTGAAAGAGTGGCGGGTTTCCTGAGCTGAGGAGGGCACTCTTTGAGAGGCTGGATGGGAAAGAGGCGTTGCGGAGGGTTTTCTGGAGGACGGCGCCGAAAACAGGTTCATGGAGAGTTTCTGGGAAAAGGACGTTTTCTCCTTGGGCGGTTGCTCAGGCTTGTCTGGGTTTTGGCCCTGACCTTGGCCGGGTTCCTTTCCCTGATCAGAACCACTCTGAGCCCCGCCAGCAGAACTCATGGAAAACATCAGACGGAGGTCCAGTTTGGATTTGTCCTTTTTAAGGAATGTCATGATGGAGGAATTGGTCGTTTGTCCAGGTCGCAGGGGCTGGAATTGGAGGGATTAGCGTGGAGGTGGTGCTGAAGTTTGATGTTGCGACCCTGCAGGGCGGACTAAGAGGAGGAGTGGAGGAGAACCACTGTGAAGAGTATGCCGAGTGATTTGAAAGGGGAGTGGCAAAAATAAAAAAGACAAAGCTTTTTTAAGAATTAATGGAAAGCCTGGATTTTGGCAATGTTCTTCGGGTCAAAGTAGAGGTGGCTTTTACCGGTGAGAGAAGTCAGAGGGTGCACCCGCTGAATGCATTCCCAGTTGGTGAGAAACGCAATTCACATTTCTATAATGGGAGCTGTCCATGGAATATGAGAAAAATAACTTTTGAAATCGCTGGTGACGCTCAATTGCTTCATACGAAGCGTTAGTGGCTTATTCGAGCTCACCATTCGTCCGTGCACGTTGGGGGCTTTGCAGTCACTTGATCGGTATACGACCGAAGAGGCCAGTTGAGCAGATCATGTCTTGAGGTTGGGTGCTGTACGAAGCCATGCCAGGATATAATAGTCGAACATCCTTTTTCCAGATGATTGCCGGATGGTGATTGGCCAATCGTTCCAATTGTGAGAATTGCCGGCCATTCTGGTAGACCTAGCCAGTTGGATAGACTGATTAGTGGAAAATCGATTACTTCAGAGATCGGCACTTCTAAGGACGCATCCAATGTACTTATGTCTCCAAAGGAGCGATACAGGAGGCTTCGACGTTGACCCAGCCAACACTGATCATCAACTTCCAGTCCATTCCGTCTTATCCAGCGGAACAGCTTTCATCGTCTTTTGACCACCGAAACGTGTCTTCGTAGATATTGATGTCCTTGACGTTGTTAAGGCCATGGCCTTCCCTTAGTTCGAAAATCGCCCAAAGAGCTAGGAAGACAGCCGGCGTAGAATATGCGCCAATGAGCGCCAGGAACGAAAAGTCCCAATAGCAGCTGAGACCGTTGCATAAGAGAATCAACACAATGTTCACCGAGACAAACGGAGCCCAGCGTGGCAAGTTCCACTTGGAGGAATACAGAAGCCTGCTCCTGTCCACTCCGAACGCAGATAATGCCTTGCTGAATCTAGCGTATGATAAACCCACGAGACACCACATCAACATCCCGGCAGAAGCACAGCACGTAAGTAGAAAACTGAACACCGTGGCGATAGACTGGTATCTGAGAAGGAGGGATGTGAGGCCAAGTGCCGAGGTAAGTAGCACGCTTGCCACAGGGACGCCAGAGGCATTGGATTTTGAGAAAACCGTAGCCAAAGATGATCCTCGATGCTCTTCACACACCGCCTGGAGGCATCGTGAGCCGAAGTATATGTTTGAGTTTGCGGCGGAAAGAATGGCAGTGAAGATGACGAAATTGAAGGTGGAGAGCATTACACCGTTCTCGTTGAGTCCGCAATTGATGAGCGAAATGAGGAAAGGCGACGACAAAAGTTTGTCTCTGGCATTTTCAGAGCCTCCAATGAGTCTTTCGTCGTCGAAGGAGATGGTAAGTGTTAGAAGTGCAACAGAAAGCAAGTAGAAAACCACAATCCGGACAAAGATAAGCCGAGTGACTTTGGGCACGGTTTCCTGCGGTTTCTCCATGTCACCTGTAGTGATAGCAATTGACTCGACCGACTGGAAAATGAACGACACGAACACTAGGGAGTTGATGAACCTGACTATGTATGCTGACGGGACATCAAGGGATCCAAAGAAGCTAGACGGGAGATTTGCCGTGTATGTTTGGAAGATGGTTCCAGAATAGAGCAAGTTCCCCAAGACAAAGACTATCCATGCTAAAATCGCCACTACCTTCACCAATGCGATCCAGAATTCGATCTCTCCATAGGTATCCACAGGTAGTAGGTTAAATGCCGTTAGAAGGAGCCAGATGCCGAAAATGATCAAACCTTGATGACTCTCTACAAATCCAGCGTTCCAATACAGGCAAGTACTGGCTAAGATAGACAATTCAAGAGCTAGGGTGAAGCCCCAGCTAGCCCAGTAGATCAAGTTATTTGCTAGACCCAATGGCACGGACAAAAAGACAAAGTGGAATTTGCAAATCAGCCCGTTCACAGGCATAAACACTGCAAGTTCCGCCGTCATTTCAAGAACGAGATACACAAGAAACAGAATGTAAGACATTGCCACGAGTGTTGCAAAAGGCCCATTTCGTAGAACCGAGGATACTGAAAAAAAAAGCCCCGTTCCAATGGTGCCTCCAATAGCAAGCATCAGCACCGATGCCAGTGTAAGGTGATGACCACTGACACCCTGCTGGCTGCCCATTGGTGGAGGCAGAGGTGACATACTAAAGATGGAGTAGTTAGTATGGGTGGAAGTTATATGCATGCGGGGTCGAAGTTTAGCAGAGGAAGTTAGATACCTTTATGTGAACGGGCACGAAATTGGAATATCGTGGGCTTATCGAAGGCTTCATTTTCTCAGTTTCGATTCAATGTATGATTATTACGAAACCAGTATTCTATTGCTGAAGCTGAGTAGTATGTGATGCTGTAGTAAGGAGACGATTGTGCAGTGTGATCTGCAGATGGAGCGTAGTACTTACCCCAGGTCGGTTGCCCAGGATACGAAATCCTTAAGTTTCAGTAACTCCATGCTTTCTAATTAAAAACTGGGATATGGTTCAAACATAAGTCATTGAGTTGAGGCCGCGATTGGTCTCAAGCTTGTAGAACAGAAGCTTCAAGTAACCCTTCTTTCAAAAGAAGATCTAAAATCATCCACGCATTGAAAGTGAGAGATCCAAAATGATTCTACGCCGGAGGTAGTGGATAAAACTTTCCCTCAATGAAAAAATCCACGGAAGCATGGCGATTCCTGAAAGCGTTGCTCATGATCCAACTGGATTGTGCAGCTCAATGCATGCTGAACAATGTCCCCAGGCATCTCTCGCATAACCGATGAGTGCACGTTCCACGGAAGCATGTAAAATGAGTAACACTTCTCAATTGAGAAGACTGGATCATAAAATGAAAAATTCGTCATAGCGCACATCCGCCTGTGTAAGCGGCACTGTTTACGTTACGCGTCAAGTACCTTATCTCGTTAAATGTGCTCCAATGCATGCTCTACAAGTCGCTTCGAATTGCATGAAACTAGCGTGGATCTGCTGCCGGGCATCTATTCGCTTGATTGTTTCAGTGAATGATTAGTTTTGTTGGATGAGCCAAATAAGTTCTCCAAATGCCGCTTCTAATTCCGATTTGACGGTGATTACAGGTATTTGTTCGTTGATGCATGCGGCATGCTTTTCCAGGGCGCCACATCAAATTGCGCCATTGCAACTACTTTTCCGAACCTCGCGTATACACTTCGAGGACATGAAACGTATTGTTTATTGAAATCCTGAAAGATTTTGAACAAATTGGGGGAATGTGTATCACTATATTCCAAAATGGCACATGTGAGAATGACTTACCCTCTCGCTATTTATACTCTGCCTTGTAGACTAGAGTGACGCCCTTATGGAAATTCCGCTGAGAATATGAAAAGATAACTAAATTGACAGTTCTGTCAACCTTGGATGCATCAGTTTTCAGTGAGGCTTTCTTTACCTTGCATTTCTTGACATTCAATCATGTTCCACACCAGGCTTAGCGGAACAATGTATTTTTAAGCCGCCGCACAGCTGAACCCTTCCAAGATAGTAAAATGAGTAACGCTTCTGATAGCCACATGAATCAGCTATGCAAGACGTGCCTCGTTCTTATAAAGATCAGTTTTCCCATACTCCAGAAAAACTATGACTTTGAGACTTGACGATGCGGTTCAATGCGTCGAATACGACCTCACGTTCACCGTGGATCCTGATAGCGAGGACTTCAAATGCGAGGGACTCATTGACTTGACGGTGTTCGAGAGCAGAGATGCATTTACCTTGAACGCTCTGAGAATGGACCTTACTTCCATGAAGATCAACGGCAAGGCTGTGACATATTCCATTGACGAAGACGCACAACTTTTGAACATAAACCATGCTGTCAAGGCAGGCGAGAAAGCACAACTAGCTTTTGCATGCACCGGAAAATGCAGTAATGACATGTACGGAATATACCGGTCTTCGTATGAGGATTTCGAAGAGAATGAGGAGTCCAGTCGAGACGATGATGCAGAAAATGGCGATATCGCCTCAGACTTGGATTCCCTCGCCATAGAGAAGGTAACGTCAAACAATGCAAATGAAAAATTCTTGATTTCGACGCAATTCGAACCAATTGGTGCAAGACGGGCATTTCCTTGCATTGACGATCCAGCCAGAAAAGCCCGCTTTACCGTCTCCTTGGTCCATCCTACAAAGTTCACAGCTTTGCTGAACTGTCCAATTCTGGAAACGGTGAAGCTTGATGAGTACTGGCTGCGTACAAGATACGAAAAGTCTCCGCTTATGTCGACGTACTTGGTTGCATTTGTGGTTGGAGAACTCGAGAGCTTGAAGAGTGAAACATTACCAATAACAGTCTGGACCGTTGTTGGAGGAGCAGAGGAGGCATCCTTTGCACTTGACGTTGCTGAGAAAAGTGTTCCATTCTTGGAGGAGATTTTCGGCTTCAAGTATCCATTGCCTAAATTGGACTTGGTTGCCATCCCTGACTTTGCCAAGAGTGCAATGGAGAACTTCGGACTCATCACCTTCAAGGAAGCAGATTTCTTGGTGGGTAGCAATCCATCCCAGACCTTGAAGGAGACAGTTTTCGAGGCAGTTTCTCACGAAATATCCCACCAGTGGTTCGGAAATTTGGTCACCATGGACTTTTGGGACGGACTCTGGCTTAAAGAGGGTTTCGCTACATGGTGCCTGTGGTATGTCATGAACCACTTCCACCCAGAGTGGAAAGTCTGGGAGAACTACATCGTGTACTCTCTTCTGACAGCCTTTATTGTTGATGGCAGAACCTCTTCTCATCCTATTAATATGCCGATTGAGGATTTTAATGACATAGAGCAGGCGGGAGACCATATCACGTATCAAAAGGGCTGCTCGCTCGTTGTGATGCTTTTTGACTTCTTGGGTGAAGATGCGTTTTTTGCCGGGCTAAAGAAATATATCCAAAAGTATGCGTGGGCCAACACCAAGGCTTCTGATTTATGGGAGTGCTTAAGTTCTGCTTCTGGACTTGATATCAGCAGCATAATGAACAGCTGGATAACAAGACCTGGGTTTCCGATTGTGCAAGTGGAAGAGGTGGAGGGAAACAAGTTGAGGCTAGAGCAAAGAAGGTTTCTCCCAACTGGTGATGGTGAAAGCGAGGATCCCTATGTGATACCTTTGAAAATCGAAACGTCCCAAGAAGTCGTCAAGACATTGTTCAAAGATCTGAGCGTGGAATTGTCTATTCCCGAAGGTCCATACTTCATAAATCCAAATCACCAGGGCTACTATGTGACCTCATATTCAGATGAAAGGTGGGCGAAACTTGCAAAAGGAAATTTGTCGGGAGCCGATAGAATAGGGGCACTATCAGACTGTTCCTTTGCCTCCTTGGATGGTGGAACTCTGGTAGTTTCTTTCCTTCAGCTCGCTGGTGAGTTTTGCAAACTTCAAGACAGTACATTGATGAACGCCATAGTGGAGATCTATTTCGATCTTTTGGATGTTTTCCTCTTTGATGAGGCTATTTTCACCAGCCTCTGCCGTTTTGGAGGGAGCATTATCAAGGATTATATCCCCACATCATTCGTTCAATCTGCCGATGATTCCTCTAATCAGGCACAATTTAAAAATGCCGTGTTTCGCTTTGCAGCATTTGTGAAAGCTCCTGAGATTGACCGCTACTGCGATGAACAATTTGAAAATTTCATCACTAATGGACAGGAGCTTGACCCAGACGAAGCTTTAATCATAATCAGGAACATTGTACGGAGAAATGATGCAGAAACTTGGGACAAATTGTGGGAGTTGTATCGGAAAGAAACTGACAGATACACAAAGGAGGATATACTTCGGTCCTTGGGCAACACATCCGACTCTAAGATCTTATCTAAATTTTTAGGGTTCGTCTTACACTCTGACGAAATAGATCTGCAAGATATCGTTCTGTCGTTAGCACCGATTAATAATACAGCCGTGGGAGTAACTCTTTTATGGTCCTGGCTCAAGGAAAACTGGAATGCAATCTCGGACAAGTTGGAGTACGGGTCAGTCGTGCACTTGGATGTTGTTCAAACATGCCTCAGGAGCCTTTGTACCAGGGAACACTCCAAAGAGGTTGAAGAATTCTTCCAGGGAAAAAGAGACGCTGTTCTTGAAAAATCGATCGCCAATACCCAAGAGAAAATCAAGGTAAGGTACCTTCAAGCCGAGAAGAATCGTCACACACTCACCACCTGGCTTTCCACAAAAGATCATTAAGTCTGTTATGGGTATGTGAGTGGGATGGTGAAGAAGCAGGGTTTCATGATGAACAGATAGCAAAGTCGGTCGTTATGGGCACAAAGAATTTACACCTGAATCTAATTATTGACTTGGTCGTCTGATCAGTTTTATTTGCTAATGAGGAGGGATATAGTATGAAAACGTTACAAGGACATCAAACTTCACTGGTCAACGGCGCAGGTGCCTGAAGTCATGCAATACGTAGAAATGGCTTAGATGATTTGCTCGTATAGTTTTGGTGTAGTTCTAATAGGATTCTGATTTTTGGTAATGCTTTTTAAATCAAGTCACCAATTTGCGCAAGACATGCACAACGAGAATCCACATTTTTTGCACCCACTTGCATTTCAAAAAATCGTGAAACGAACTCTTTTAACTAATGGGGGCGGGTAAATAGAGAAATCATCTGGGCAATTGCGCTGCGCTGATGAGAGAAAGCATTGCAATCGCAATAGTCGACTTGAAAGATACCATTTTATTGCGAAATTCAGAATATTTTGCAATGAAAAGGACATTTACAGGAGAAACACGGCTCTTTATAGTCCACTTTCTTCAAACTGCGATGGCGTATCGGGATGTGGCTCCTTAGACAGCTGCAACTCTATCCAGCACACCTTATCAATGCAACGTAATGATGCGCATTTTACAGCCGCTGAGCCTCGTCGCTTATCACTAGAGGTGATAAGCCACTGCCCTTCCGTTTCAAGAAAGAAGCTATGACCGCAAGTGGTCCAAAGACTGGATTAGAATAAGTCGGCGCCGAACGCATAATCGCTTCCTGTATGCTGTGATAAAAGAAGCCGCTGGGCTGCATGGTTTCACTGATACCACCCGAGCTTTTCGTGACATTACTTTTGGAATTTTGATACAGCCTTATTGGCAAACACAGTGACTTCCAAATGGGTTTGGTCTGGCGAGAAACGGTCTCTTTAGCACGAGGTTGTGTGACAACATCCTGCAGTTGGTAATGGTAACTGTCACTCGCAATTGACGTCTGCATGATTTAGTGTGGCTGAGAAGGGGCATCCGAGACTTATGACAGCATGGCACATGCATAACGCCTCAAGGACCCCGAACGGCACGAAAACGCAATCAGATGCCTATAAAAAGTGGAGCGGATAAGCGAATGCAGAAATCACAGCTCCTTTCAAGTCATTATGTCTTTTACCGTATGTCTGCTACGTTCCGCCCGTCTGCAATACTAACAAAAAGTCTTCATTTGACAACTTCAACTGGAACGCCATTGCAACACGGTTTTTGGTGGCCGATTTCGTCTTCCGCGCATACCTCGTCCAGAGACAATTTAGGGTAACTCTTGCTGAAAAGGCACCTAAAGTGGTGAGGAAGGAGGTTGCTTCAGAGCTGTTCATCAAGTCTCAAAGGTATGCTCGGGACAAACTCAAATTGGATTTGGCGCGGAGTGTTATCACCCTATTGGAGGAATTAGCAATTCTACACTTTGATTTGATGCCGCAGATTTGGGATGTGTCAGGCGTTTTTTTGTCACTTATCAGTAAAGTCGGTTATCTTCACGGACTTTCAGGGAGTGAGGCATTGCAGAGTGTGTTATTCATTGTGATTAAAAAGACTATCTCAAAGATTATTGAAATCCCGATCGATTACGTCCACACCTTTGTTTTAGAGGAGAAGTGGGAATTTAACCGGATGACGAAATCGAAATTTTACAGAGATCTGGTTTTATCGCTTGTTATTTCAGACCTCATTTATGCTTTGGCGGTATTTGTATTTGTAAAGATCGTGAGGTTTTTTGGCGCCAGCTTTCTCATATACACAATTGTTACTGTTGTCATTGGCTTCCTTTTATTCCAGACAATCATTCCTATTGTCATTTTACCGTTGTTTCATAAACTCACACCTTTGGAAGAAGGCGAGTTGAAGACGGCGATTGAAGATTTGGCGAAGAGAAACGGCTTTCCCACTTCACGCCTACTTGTAATTGATGGTTCCACCACGAGCACCCATGCGAATGCTTTTTTTCTGGGCTTACCTTGGAACAAGCAGATCGTGCTTTATGATACACTAATTCAAAAGTTCCCCACCAGCGAGATTATTGCCGTTTTGGCGCACGAGCTAGGCCATTGGAAATTGGGCCATGTCCTTCAAGTGAATATCCATATTTGGTTGATATTGGCAATTAATTTCGCCTTTTTCTCGGCATTTTTTGACAACTCCTCTCTTGTGAAAGCATTTGGGTTCGCCAACCCCTCTCCAGCCATCAACTTTGTGCTTTTCACTTACCTCACCTGGCCATTAGATACATTTAACTCAATTTCCAGAAATTTTATGGTCAGAAGAAATGAATTTCAGGCTGATAACTATGCGAAGGAACAGGGATACAAAGACGAGATTGCTAGCGGCTTAATTCGTCTTAATAGTGAAAGTTTGGATGTCTTGTACACTGACTGGTTATATTCCATTTGCAACTCAAGTCACCCAAGTTTGGTGGAACGGTTGGTTGCCATTGGCTATCAACCAAAGCAGAAGGTGAGGAAGAGAGGGTTAGAGGTAACAAAGGAGGAGGATGAGAAGGGGGACATTGAAGAGCGAGAGATACTCTAGGGTCTCTGTAGGTGAGTGTAATAGTAAATTAAGTCTGTTATGGGTAGGTGAGTGCGTTGGTCAAGAGGCACCCCAAAAATCGCATATTGTTGACAGCCAATAATTAATAAGCCTCTGGAGAACTGTCACAAATTTGTTAGGTCGGCTTATATCTAGACTAAAAACGGATCTGACAGGTCCCTGCGCCAACCGATTTCTTGGCAAGATCTTGTCGGACGGTTAATGACGGATTCGGCGGGTTCGGTTACTAATAGTTATCACGAGCCGCATAAATTATCCAAGTGTAGATAAGCCCGAAGCCATGCGGCAGCAATATATGCAGCCCAGCACCAAACGGCACCAAAGGTGCATAAGATGCCACAAGGTGTAGCGTGCAAAAAAAGACAACTTGAGAATCACAAAAAGAGGCCTCTCAAAATAGGGCTAGAATTGCCGATCATCTTAAGATTGCAAATCGCCGAATGAGCTTCTGATACCGTGATAGCCGCACTGTATTCTCTAAGCTCGCTTGCTTTGACAGGTTGACGTCTGCAGGCTTATGCACTTGCGGCATCGGATAGGACGATAACAATCCGGTTCATTTGAACGAGTTGGTTCAGAAAAAATAATTTAGCAGACTTTGTAAATTCAATCAGTTTAACACGAGAAACCCATGAAATGTACGTTGTTATCAGAAAGTTCGTTTTGTGTCAGAAAATCGCCTTGCAGATTTTGGGTTCGACTTGTACCTCCATCGCATGGCACTCATTGGCTCATGATCACCGAGCCGCAACTGCCGCTGATAAGAAAACTATATATATCTGGATGCCTTCTTCAATCTGGACCAGTAATCCAAAATGTCTGAAAAGCCTGGCTTGCAAAATCTTGCCAGTGTAACCAGTAATACCGATCGTATGGAAGCAGCCGACCATGAAGTCGACTTGCAAGCCATCACATCTCAGCCACTCTCCATGGGGGATGTGGCAGATGACTTCACATCCGACCAAAAATACTTTATATTGCTGAGACTCAACTATGACCATCTTGAGTCTCTAGATGACCTTCCACCAGGAGCAGTTTTCATGCTTGAGAAGATTCTGTATCTCTCGCTCGATCAGTCCAGAGAGATTATCAGTGAGTACCTCGAGAAACATATTTCGGATGTCAATATCCCTGCAGAGGAGTACGACTTTATCGAAAGATTATACAAGGCCGAGAGCCTTGGCAGTTCACAAACTAGACAGTTGAAAAAGGCCACTGAAAAACAAGACTTTGCCGAGGAGACCGGCGAGTTTGACAATTCGCTGATGAGCCTGGGTTCTAGCGGACATGTGATTGTCGATCCAGAGCTTCAGCTCAGGCTTGAAGCCGGAATCATTGCCTACTGGTCTCCATACCCTGAAGTGCGTTCCGTCACCGACCCATACGACGACCCCTCGATCCCATGCGAGACTTTCAGAGTGTATCTTATTGGATTAATTTGGACGGTCTTGGGTACCTTCATCAACACATACTTCCAGGACAGACAGCCCAGTATTGCGTTGTCGAGTGCTGTGGTTCAGCTTTTCGTGTACCCTTGCGGTAAACTTTCTGAATTCCTTCCTCACTGGGGCTTCACCGTTCGTGGATTCACTTTCGAGCTTAACCCAGGTCCATGGACTTACAAAGAGCAGATGTTGGCTACCATTTGCTACAATGTGTCTTCGGTTGCGGCCTACGTTGTGAGTAACATTCAGGTGCAAAAGATGGAGATGTTCTACAACAACGACTGGGTTGACTTTGGCTACCAGTTCCTCCTTATGTTCTTTACCAACTTCATGGGCTTTGGTTTGGCCGGAATGGTGAGAAAGTTCGTGGTGTATCCCGAAACAGCAATTTGGCCTACTAATCTCCCTACCTTGGCCTTGAACAATGCATTAACCAAACCTGAAAAGAAGGAGGTGATCAATGGCTGGAAAATCAGCAGATACAACTTTTTCTTCTTGCTGACTGCACTCTCGTTCCTCTGGTACTGGGTTCCCGACTACTTGTTCACCGCCCTTTCAACCTTCAACTGGATGACTTGGATTGCTCCTAACAACTTTAACTTGGCCGCTGTTACCGGAAGCCAGAGCGGACTCGGCTTGAACCCAATCACCTCGTTTGACTGGAACATCATCAGTTACTTGAATCCCTTGATTATTCCATTCTACGCCCAACTCAACCTCTACATTGGTGGTTTGGTGGCCGTGGTGATCACTGCTGCTTTCTGGTACACCAACTACAAGTGGACTGGCTACATTCCACTCATCTCGAACTCATTGTTCACCAACACAGGCGACTACTATGAGGTGACGCAGGTGGTTGACTCAAGAAGCTTGTTTGATGTGGAGGCTTACGAAGCCTACGGTCCACCTTTCTATTCGGCTGGTAACTTGGTCGTCTACGGAGCTTTCTTCCTCATTTACCCATTCTCCTTCTTTCATGTACTCATCATGCAGTGGGACCAGTTGAAGAATGCCTTCATTCAGCTTTTCAAAGTGATCAGAAGAAAATCCAATTCAACCTACGACGGGTTCGACGATCCCTTCTCCAGATCCATGACCAAATACAAGGAGACTCCGGAATGGTGGTTTATGGTGGTTCTTGTGATCTCGCTTGTTTTCGGTATTTTATGTGTCAAGCTCTACCCTGCTGAAACACCAGTGTGGTCGCTTTTCTTTGCCTTGGCTCTTAACTTCATTTTCTTGATCCCATTGAGTATCATTTACGCCACCACTGGTTTCCAATTCGGTTTGAACGTCTTGGTGGAGTTGATTATTGGATATGCTATTCCCAATAACGGTCTTGCCTTGATGCTTATCAAGGCATTGGGTTACAATATCGACGGTCAGTGTCAGATTTTCCTTGGAGACTTGAAGATTGGTCATAACTTGAGACTTCCTCCTAGAGCCTTGTTCAGAGTACAGATCATCTCTACCGTTATCTACTCGTTTGTCTCCTTGGGTGTTGTGAACCTTGCCATGCAGACTATCGAAGATTACTGCCACCCCCACCAGCCCCAGAAGTTCACCTGTCCATCATCCACAACCTTCTATTCATCCTCGGTGTTGTGGGGTGTCATTGGTCCCAAGAAGATTTTCAGTGGAATCTATCCAGAATTGCGTTGGTGCTTCTTGATTGGTTTTCTTCTTGTCTTCCCAGTGGTGCTCATCCAGAAGTTGTTCAAGAGAAACAAGCTTGTGCAGAGATTCCAGCCCACCTTGATCATTGGAGGAATGTTGAACTGGTCTCCATACAACTTGTCTTACTACACGCCTTCTTTCATTGCGTCGTTTTTCTTCATGAACATCATCAGAAAGCGTTTCTTCGCTTGGTGGAACAAGTACAACTATATTCTTTCCGGAGGTCTCAGTGCTGGTGTGGCCTTCAGCAGTATCATCATTTTCTTTGCCGTGCAATATCACGATAAGTCCATCTCGTGGTGGGGCAACAATGTCAACTCAGAAGGTCTCGACTACATTGGACCAGCCAGACTTAATGCTACCGTTGATGCTCCCGGGGGCTACTTTGGTCCACGTTTCGGAAACCTTCCTTAGACCTTCCCCAGAGAAGTAGTAATACCATTAATTAACGCATTTGAGATTATTTGTGATGTCATCAGTAGAATGCTAGGTAAGACGCAATCGAGGGATTTTTCATCAAGGGATTTGCCAGAGCGTCGTGAGTGATAAAACTCGTCGTACACTAACCATTCCAGATCCTCTACAGATCAGCTTCTGGGGTGGTGTGTTGATACTGGTAAAAATAGCACCCGCATTTGCAACCAAAACTGACAACTTAGAGTTTACCATTGGCAAAGCAAATATTGATGATATTTTTTACGAATTGTCGTTAAATTGCTGTTACCACAAATGGACCAAAACCGCTCTCCTAAATCACTCATCCTAAATACCTCATCTGAGGCATTTAGAACAATCGTCATCGTGGTAGTCCACCGAGGTCCACAGCGGTATGTGACATGACAAAGTTAGGCAACTGAAAAACAATTCTTATTTATTTTTTCCTGCCTTTGTCTTGCAAGCTCCGAATGAGTCAAGAATAAACAAGAGAAGAAAGAAATTCGCTCAAAACCTAGTCATCAACAGAAACGAGTGGTTGCGAAAAGAAATATAGCAAGTGTGTCAAAGCTGCGGGTCTAAAGCGGTAAGGCCAAGCCATTGCACGAAAAGAAAAGCAGGGAAATTTTTCAAAACCTACAAAATCAAATGTCAATTGACGGGGAATGGCCCTGTGAATTGTCCCCGGATTTCTGCTTTGTGTCACCTCAGCCGCCTTATCTTCGTCCGCTGGTCCAGCTAATTTAGCCTCATTGACTGCTTTGGGTCGTCCTGTGAGTAATACCTTCCGCAGAGCTCTCATTGGGTGATAAGAGGGGACTGCATGCAGTACGTCATATGAGTAAAGGCCTGGCGGCTCCATTGACGACGAGAACGGGTCGAAAAAACCGCCTGACGTCCACCCCGCCAACATGCTGTTGATAACGAGGAAGTTTCAAAATTCATATTTATTAATTTGTAGGTTCTTTTGGAGGAAATCCGGATAAGACGGGTCCGGATAAGACAGGTGCGGCGAAGCCCAGGCCCTAGAAACATGTCATTCGGAAGAAACACCCGGCTGAACGGGTTGCGCATACATTCGCGAGGCGGTTCCAGCGACCGCTCCGCCGCGGTATCCGGATAGGAGAGGTGTGAGAACCGGACACACCCGTCGTATCAGGACAAATACTGCAGACAGACCGCTTTTTGCTCACCGCGCTTGGTTTCTTTTTCTTTATCAGACCGCTATTCAGGCCCGCCTAGCATCTGGGCACTTGCTATATAAATAGCTTGGTTTTCCGCCCATCCCACCTCTCTTCTGTGTAACACTTACTTATACTTTAATTTATTTTGCATCATGACCGGCATCACAGAACAAACCGCCATCCTAGCTAAGTATTTCGACTTGAACCAAAACGGCAAGGTTCTTGCTGAATACGTCTGGGTTGATGCTGACGGACACACCAGATCAAAGTGCAAAACCCTCAGTAAAAGACCTTCTTCTGCTGAGGACTTGCCTGAATGGAACTTTGACGGTTCTTCTACCGGCCAGGCCCCAGGCCACGATTCGGATATCTACCTCCGTCCTGTCGCTTTCTACCCTGACCCTTTCAGAAAGGGTGACAACATTATTGTCTTGTGTGAGTGCTGGAACAACGACGGTACCCCTAACAAGTTCAACCACAGACACGAGTGCGCCAAGTTGATGTCTGCCCACGCCGACGAGCAGGTCTGGTTTGGCCTCGAACAGGAATACACCTTGTTTGACCAATACGACAATGTCTACGCCTGGCCTAAGGGCGGTTTCCCAGCTCCACAGGGTCCTTACTACTGTGGTGTTGGTACCGGTAAGGTCTACGCCAGAGACGTTGTCGAGGCTCACTACAGAGCTTGCTTGCACGCCGGCATCAACATCTCCGGTATTAACGCCGAGGTGATGCCTTCCCAATGGGAGTTCCAGGTGGGTCCATGCTCCGGTATCGAGATGGGCGACCAGTTGTGGATGGCCCGTTTCCTTCTTGAAAGAGTCGCCGAGGAGTTTGGTGTGAAGATTTCCTTCCACCCTAAGCCTTTGGCTGGCGACTGGAATGGTGCTGGCTGCCATACCAACGTGTCGACCAAGAACATGAGAGAAGTCGGTGGCATGAAGTACATCGAGGACGCCCTTGCCAAGTTGGCCAAGAGACACAAGGAGCACTTGGTTCTTTATGGTGCTGACAACGACATGAGATTGACTGGTCGTCATGAGACCGCTTCTATGGAGGCTTTCTCCTCTGGTGTTGCTAACAGAGGTGCTTCCGTCAGAATCCCAAGATCTGTCGCCAAGGAGGGCTACGGTTACTTCGAGGACAGAAGACCAGCTTCCAACATTGACCCATACTTGGTCACTGGTATCATGGTTGAGACCATTTGCGGTGCTATCCCTGACGCTGACATGTACAAGGAGTACGCTAGAGAGTCGGAGTAGATACGCTAGAGCTTGCATGAGGAAGTCATTCCCCACAAAAAAAAAACTTGTTTGATTACACAACCTACATTATCTAATCTGTTCACTTCATTATTTAGAGTCTTAACGCATGGCTAGGCCGAACGGCCCTTTTAGGAATTTTCCATTGTTGTAGATATCATTTGTAAATCAGAAATTTTCTTGGTGAGGGGTGACTCATGATAAGAAATCCACCAACCACAGCTTGTGATCTACCTGTTATCTGAGGGGTGAAACGCTGACATTTCGGGGATAGCCCACAAAAGAGGGGGAGACGAAATTTACTGATATCACTAAATCGTTCGTATCAATCACACGAGCCAAGGACTCAGGGGCTAATCAAAAGGCACAAAACGGACCCAACCGAGCTCTCTGCCTTATCTGATAATTTCTTGATCCTTATCTTCGTAGTGACGCTGGTTGCCTAGGTTCTTATCGCAAGACCAATTTCCCATTATTTCCCCATCATTTTCCCTTTGAGAATTGACTCCATGTATATCGCCTTAAGCTACACTCAAGACAGTAGGGAGACATTAAGGTTTTGAAAGAGAGGCTTAGTAATTATGCTTGAAGGCCAATCCCGGGGACCAATCCAAATTGATGTAAACTTGCTTTGTAAGACAGCGAAATTGCGCTCATGTATTGGATGAGAGTATTTAGCATATCGGTAGAGAATATGGTTGAGAAGATTGTGCAGCTGAGCTAGGTCAAGGCAATATAAAGAGAACGATTAAAGTGATCTCTCATTTTTTTTTTCTTTTGGCTCTATGGATCGTTTTACATCGAATTCTTGGAATCCGGCTGAGTCAAAGATATGTGTAGTAGGTTTCAGCACTGGGCGGAAAAGAACCCTTCGAGCCACAGAGCATCAACTGGAGTACATGGGCCGAAGCAACAAACACCTTCTGCATAATCAAAGCAGAGCGATTTGTCAACTCCAACTTTTAGCTAACCAACAAAAACGCTCATTTTATCCATTTACTTGCACCGCTGTAGCTCCTCACAGTAAAACCAATTGAATCATTATCTTTGACCCACTGGTGAGCGGCACAGTTTCTCGTTATTTGGTAGTTGCTCCAGTATTTCACCAACATATCCGCAGCTGACCACATGGAACCGTTATGAGCTCGCTGGAACCGTTATGAGCTTGCTGCACTGCGTAGCACGTTGATCACCTATTACAGGCATTGCGTTTAGCCAGTTAGGATGAAATTAACCATGCCAGCCCCCCGATACAATCCAGTACCGTGCGCTATTTTCCAAACAGCCCCTCTGCATCCATTGAACGTAAAAGCTCGAGACCACTGTGGTGAAATATGCTCCTCGGCTACGTCATGGCCATTTCTGAAGATGCGAAATCCCGTTTTTGCGTTTCTACTCAGCCGCCGTCTTTATCGTCTGGGCTTAGCACTACCACTAGAGTTGACCTTTACTAGCCCATTCGAAAAAAACGACCGGTTAAGTCGACCTTTTTATAGTGCAGCTTGACAGGTGTCAAGACTCATGTCAGGCCGCGGAGGCACTTCCTCATTTGGAAGTATCACCTTGATATGTGTGGTCTCGGAAGCCGCCGCACGGTAGCTCGGATCTTTTGATATCTGACCGAGATACCGCATACCGAGAGGCACCAACCACACAAACACTTCAAATTATGCGTTAGAAGCTGCATATTCCGGAATCTGGAGCCGACGAGCCCGGGCCGTATTGGCTCCAATCCTTGCCAAGATCTGAGCACTTAAGCCAATGAGCTGTTATCGGCGGTAGGTCGCAAAGACGGCTATCCGACATTGAAAAATATCAATCTAAACGCTGACTTGGAGATCGCCTTCCGGCCCGAAGCCTCAAAGAGCCATACCACACTTGTTCCACAAAGCCATGAAGCAATCAAGGGTTCAATAGGCACCTAGAAGGGATGTCATAACAAACCGTTGCGCAGATCTTATGCACGAATGTGCCAATGCACACAGCTCTGACGACAGATTGTGCATACACCACGCAAGGTGCATTTGACAGGCATTTTCGTTCCGGGACAGCTACCGATGTGTAGCAGCCGAATGCAAGGTGAAAAAGAACCGGCCAATCGAAATGAAAAACTACTTGCTGCAGCTGCAATGCAAGGGATAATCAGCTGAATCTGATTCCCGAGTACAGGCTGTTGCGTTCCATGTCCAATCAGTGGCATACATGAAGAAGCCGATCGGGACGCCGGTTGAATTATTTTTGTTCAAGCTTGAGGTATAAAGCAGCAACAGATGCCGCAATCTAATCTGATGCATCAGTAGCCATGGCTCCCATAGACATAGCCGAAAAGGACTCTGCTGATGAAAGGTATCTTCAGCATCTGAGTGACGAGCACAAATTTGGCTCGAGTGATGATTTTCATACCGACGATGAGAAAAAAGACCATGCTCTTGAAGCAGTCCAATCCAAGAGTACCTTGGATACCGATGATGGTTTCAAGTTCAACCAAGGTGATATCATGGCCATTTTGATGGACGACGATGATGAGTTGCCTGCGTTGACCTTGCGTATGTGGGTGATGGCCATTTGCCTTGGTGCTTTCGTTGCTGGTGTGGATGCTTTTTTCAACATGAGATTCCCAACTATCAATATCGCCGTGGTGGTCATCCAGGTTATCTCATGGCCCATTGGACAGGCATGGCATTACATCATTCCTAAGTGGACAGTACCACTTCCTTGGGGACTTTCATTCAGCTTGAACCCAGGTCCTTTCAACTACAAGGAACACACCTCCATCTTCATTTTCACCAATGTCGTCATCAGTGCCGGATTGGTCAACAACTTGGTTATCGAGGACACAAAGTATTTCAAGAAGGATATCGGTATTCCTCGCCAGATTCTCTTCAACATCTCGTGCTATGTCCACGCTGTTGGTCTTGTTGGTCTCTTCAGAGACGTTATGATCACACCAGCCGAAAGAGTCTGGCCTGGTGTGCTTTCCAATATCGCCTTGTTCAAGACCATCTACTCCAGAGACAACCCAGTGGTACACGGCTGGAAGATGCCTCGTGGTATATTCTTTGTCATTGTCTTTGTGTGCTCTTTTGTCTACTACTGGTTCCCTGATTTGATTTTCCCATTTTTCTCCACCATTGGTGCGTGGATCAGCTGGATCAAACCAGACAGTGCACCACTTTCTCAGGTATTTGGCGTCAAGACTGGTCTTGGGCTTTTCCCTCTCACATTGGATTGGACTCAGATCACCTCAATCAACAATCCATTGACTACACCTTTCTTCGCTGTGGCCTCCATGTTCGCCTCATTTGTCTTCTGGATTTGGATCGTCATGCCTGGTCTTTACTACCAGAACCACTGGGAAACTGCCCACATGCCAATCATGAGTAACTCGGTTTTCGATATGCACGGAAAGCAGTACAATTTTTCCAGGGTTGTGAATGACGATTGGGGACTCAACAAAGAAAAGTTCGATGATTACTCCCACGCTTTCATGCCTGTGGCATTCTTGATGAGTTTGGCTCTTGGAATTGCCGTGTTCTCCTCTCTTGTTGTCCACACCGCTTTGAAGTTCCGTTCTGAAATCTGGGGGCCATGGGTCAACAGATCAAACCACGAGGATATCTTCAACAAGGCAGTGAAGAGATACAAGGAGTTCCCCAAATGGATCTATCTTGTGATGGTCGTTATTGGTTTGGCTCTCGGTTTTGCGTTTTCAGAAGGTTGGAATGACTCTCCAATTGACGCCGGTGGATACTTCGTTTCTGTCTTGATTGGCTCTGTGATGTTCGTTCCCCTTTCTCTTCTTGAAGCCAGAGCCAACACCATTGTGTCATTGCAGAGCTTTTTCGAGATTGTCAGTGCTAACTGGTACAAGGGCAACTCATACACGTTGCTTTACTTCTACTCCTTTGGATTCAGTATCATTCAGCACGGCATGCACATGGCCCAGAGTGCCAAAATGGGGCACTACATGAGAGTTCCACCAAAACAGGTGATGATCCTACTTTTCGCTGCCGGAATCTGGGCATCGCTTGTCTCTCCCTCAGTGACTGGATACTTGTTGCATCACATTGACGATATCTGCACCCCCAACGCCAGAAACAACATGGTTTGCAGAAAACAAAAAACAGCATTCAACACCCAATCGATGTGGGGTTTGTTTGGTAGTGAAATTTTTGCTCCTGGAGGCAGGTACTCCTGGGTTTTGTGGTTTTTCCTTGTGGGTGCCTTGGTGCCAATTGCCCATTGGGCATGGTGCAAGTTTAGACCAAATACCTGGGTGAAGCGTTTTGACCCTATTTTGTTCTTTGGTGGTGCTGCCAATATTCCTGGTGTGACAGGTTACAACTTTTCCACCTGGTTTTTCACCGCTGCCATTTTCAACTACTTCATCCACCGTAAATACACAGCCTGGTGGAGAAAGTACAATTTGGTCAGCTCTGTTGCCTTGGATAGTGGTGTTGCCATAGCGGCCATCATCATCTACTTTTGTGTCGTCTATACCGGTGGATCAAAGAACTACACATGGTGGACGACTACCGTCTCTAAGAAAGGCTGTGATAACAAGGGATGCCCACATCTCTCCAAGCAAATCCCCAGACCCGAAGGATACGCCTTTTAATAATTGATAGAAGTAATGAGAAGATCGTTTTGACAATACGTAGAGACCCAAAATTTTTGTGATACAGAAACCTTGGGGTACGTGGCCACGGTTCATAGGCCAACGCACGTCTCACAATATGCATATGTGACAACTCTTGTTTCAAAATCGAGAGCCTGTTGATGGGCTTTGGTATTGCGCTGCTTTGGTCCATGTTACGTCATGGGTCTATGATTTGACAGGTTTACATGCTTGAATCAACTCCGTAATCTCAATCAGGAGGATGAGGCATTTTGTTTGATGATCACTGAAGCTGACCCAGTATTTGATACAGCTATCAGAGCTCTATCCCCATAGTGCCATGGCTTATAGATAACGCGCGGCTCTCTATCAACCCGCTTAACCTTGCCTCAATTATGCTGCTTGTAATTGCGTTTGATAATGCACGGTGGCTAATTCGAGAATCCACGCAGCTCGTGCCACTCCTTATCAACCGGCTTTATTCGGGTCCGTTTTGTGGTCAAATATGGCAGACGGCAAATCATCCAAAAGGTATTGTGTGATATAATTGGTTTCGAGCGCTTTTTAGCTACAGTGTCTTGTGCGTCTAAATACAGCTAACTTTTAGGTTCAGACATGACAGCTGCCTGATTCCTTTAAAGCTTTCCATAATGGCTCTCTCCTCTCTACAATACCAGCGAAAAAAAATGATATGTCAATTCAATATTAACTCAAGCTTAACTTTTAAAGCTTTGGTTTATTCAAAGCAGAAGGCAAATTTCACTTTAACAAAACCGTGATTGATATTACCAGAGGTTATATTGCCCTTAGTCTCGACAGAGGTAGGTGTGTTTCCATCGACGTCTCTCATCAACTCTTGAAGCTCCTTCTGTTTCTCAGTATTATGAGGCGAAGAGGTTGGAGGGTCGTCAGAACCTGCGAAGTAGAAAGTAAAGTTTTGCATTGAATATGCTTTAGAGTTATGACACTTGAACTAAGATTTATAGCACTAGCAATTTGATGGCATAGCTGGTGGCAAACCAAATTAGAATAGGGTGGCAAACCCAATTGCAATAGGGTGGCAAGAACACGAGGGTCACACCACAGTTGTGAGACTACCTAGACTTCAGATCACGGTGTCAGGGAAATGCATTTCCGACGGGTAAGCTGTGATGTTTCTGAGTGGTGGAAAAACCAGCCTTGAAAACGCCAAGAATAATTGAAGAAGCATGTTTGACAGTGTCGGTTGTTCGATTGAATGGTGAGCCGAGAGCCGCACAGCCGCACGGCAAGATAGTTATCCCTGAAGAGCCACAGCTTTGACGGGACCCTGGCGGCCAGACTTCAAAATTCCTGAAAACGTGTTCTTTCGAGGTTTATGACGTATTACTTTGTGCTTCACGTTCGCCGATTGACAGCGTTCACCTCGCGATTAAGTGAAGCGATGCAAGTTTGACAAGTTTGACAGGTGGGCTAACAATGCAGGCGAGGCGCTTGAAGAGGCTTTTGAAAGTACCAGCCCCAGAATTTGCCTTATGGCACTTAAACATACAAATAGAAAGACGTAAACTGGTAAATCCTCTTCGAAGGCTAGAATGGCGAATCACAATCATCCACGGTTGGTCCAAATTCCTTTAAGCAGCCCGGCATCTTGGGCGTCCACTTGCATACTAGACGTGGCCCGCGTAGTATACAACTATGGGAAATCCAGCATGGTATCCTGAATCTGAAAAATTTCTCCTCCGTCTTGCTACTGCTACTGATGAGTTCATCTCTCGTCATGGCTGATCCATTGTCGGAACACCGTCTTTGCAGCTTCAAAGACTCCATCCTCGACCCTTTGGTCGATCCACACAAAAGCGCACCGAATCCATGTTTCCTTGCCTCAGTCATCACTGCTGCTCAGGGAATTCTCGGTTTATTCTTGTTGATCCAAATTGTCCAAGTAATCACCAACAATCGCTTCGGGCCCTTCAGGATTAAATACTCGTTTGGTAATGGCTTTTCATTGAGAAGCGTCGGTGCTTCTCACTTCGTGAGAACATTTGTGGCCTTGATCCAGGGCTTGGTTCTTTTCGTTTTGGCTTATAAATCATCCCACGTTGAGGATGTATCGGTGATATCCCTCTCAGCTTTGGTACTGCTGGCGGTTACCCTCTTCTTGGCTTTACCACTCCACTTTTTGGAAACTACTCGCTCAATTGTGGGACATAGCTCCTTGTTCACTTACTGGGCTGCATCCATTTTGTTGTTTTCTGTGATCACCGTTACCGACGTGTTCTCGCCTTACAAAGTGTTCGTTGACAAGAGTGACAAGTCTCTTGTCTTGACTCTCGAGATCACATTAGTTATATTGTCGACGACTGCCCTAATTTTGGAGTCCTTTTTTTACCAGCCTTCTGAAGAGCTTCTTGAATTTTTTGATTTGAATGGCTGGAACACATCCAGTGTAAGAAATCCTCTTGAACTACTTTTCTTCACTTGGGTCAACCCAATGATCAGCGAAATTCACTCGTCAGAAGAGTTGCGAAAGAATCAAGTTCCCGCTATAGATGCTGGTTTGTCGAACGGTCTTCTCTATGGGGAATTCAAAAAGTCGTGGCAGGCTGAAGTAAACCGTGCTACTTGGTGGAGAGACAGGCGTATCTCGAAATCGAAGGAGCCCACTGAAGAGGATAGAAAGGTGATCACATCACTTCGTCTTGTGATTTTCAAGTTGCACTGGTATAAAACCCTTGTTTCAACTTTGCTTAGTTTGATTGAGGTGGCAGCTTCCATCGTGAAGCCGTTTGCGATTCAAGCATTCATCAAATTCTTCACCTTCTATGCGCTTATTCCTGATCTGGAACACAAGCCGCCGCTCATTCAAGGAATTGCCTTGGGGGTTGCAATTTATCTTCTCTCCGTTATCGAATTCCTTGTATCTTCCCAAAGCTCCATTAACTTCACAAGAATTCGTCTTTCTATTCGTTCTGCCTTGACAGCCGCCGTGTACGAAAAAGTGTTGAACCTTTCACCTGAGGCACGGCAGGAAAAAACTACCGGAGAGATTGTGAACCTTGTCTCTATGGACATTGCAAATCTCTCGCTGTGGCTTGAACAGATCTCCTCGATTGTTGTAATCCCATTGCGTTTACTTCTCACCTTGGCAGCTTTATACAAACTTCTCGGAAAATCGTCATGGGCTGGGCTTCTAGTCATGTTGGTGTTATCACCAATATCTTCATTTATAAGTGCTTCTATCTCTTCCTTGGTGCAGGCGTTGATGGTGCAAAAGGATAAGAGAGTCAAGCTCACTTCCGAGATTCTCAATGCAATCAAGTCCATTAAGTTTTACGCTTGGGAGAAGCCCATGCTCGAACGACTTCACGAAATAAGAAATGGTCAAGAACTTCAGACTCAGGCTCAGATCGGTATCAAAGTGGCTGCTTGCCTGTTGATTTGGCAAAGTATCCCAGACTGGGTCAGCGTGGGAGTATACGGTACCTTTGGAATCTACAGTAAGGTGACACTCACACCTGACTTGATATTTTCGTCCTTAGCATTGTTCAACAAGCTCCTTTTGCCCATAGTCTCTATTCCATTCCTTGTGATACAGTTGGGACAAGTGAAAGTCTACCTGCAAAGAGTGGAGTACTTCTTTGGCTTGAGTGAGTTGGAGCAACTGGTGAAGCGCTCAGAAGTATCTCTTCAGAAGAAAGATGAAGCCGTTTCTATCAAAAATGCCTCATTTTTCTGGAAAAAGAAGGACGCTGAGAACCCCAGGCCCGAGTCAAATTTTGCATTGAAAGATATCAACTTCAGCGCCAAGGTGGGCGAGTTAACGTGCTTGGTGGGTAAAGTGGGCTCTGGAAAAACCTCGTTGTTGAAATCCATCATTGGTGAACTTCCAATTTCTGAGGGGAGTAGCTACCTAAAAGTTGCTGGAAGCGTTGCTTACTGTTCGCAAAATGCTTGGATTTTGAATTCCTCAATCAAAGGGAATATCTTATTCGGCAAGCGTTTCAACGAGGACTTTTACAATAAGACTATCGATGCTTGCCAATTGCGCCCTGATCTTCAGACTCTTCCAAACGGCGATGCTACAGTAGTTGGTGATAAAGGAATTGCACTTTCTGGCGGTCAAAAGGCCCGTTTATCTTTGGCTAGGGCAGTCTATGCCAGAGCTGATATCTATTTGCTTGACGATATTTTGTCAGCAGTGGACTCCTACGTTGGAAGGAAAATTATTGATGCTGTCTTGTCGTCCAAGGGACTCTTGGCTTCAAGAACGGTGGTTCTTGCTACCAACTCTGTTAAAGTACTTCAAGAAGCAAATTCGATTTATTTTATCAAAGACGGTTCCATTACTGAGCATGGTTCTTTCGCAAGTCTCAAAAGTAAGGGAGGAGAGACAGCACAGCTCATAAATGAGTTTTCTGCAAAGGAGAAAAATGACAAATTAGCTTCCGAGGCCGACGCCTCTCTTGATGTGAAACCAGAGTCTCAGCCTCAGACATTGAATTCCGAAGTGCTTTCCTCGGTCGACCAAACGGATGCCCCCATCACCCCTGATGTCTTAGAAACCGTAACCAGCTACCAAGATTTAGAAAGAGCATCATTTGAATCTTTCGATCATGATATTGAGGACGACGTCCACAAAGATGTGGCTGAAAATACCAGTGACGAGAACAAAGCTAAGGGAGGAATCAACAAAAGCGTCATTTCCAAGTTGGTGAAGGCCTGCAAATTTCAAAACGTTGCGTTGTGGTTGGGTTTCATCATATTGGCAAGCTTTCTTGGAATAGCAAGCAATTTAATTTTGAAGCTGTGGTCAGAAAGAAATTTGAAAGCAGGTTCGAATGTCCGTCTCCCCTTCTATCTTTCATTGTATGCATCCTGCGGAGTTCTTCAAACGCTTGCCAGTTTGGTCGCTACCTATGTCTTGTGGGCTTACTGCATCATCAATTGCTCTAGGTACTTCCACGATCGACTCGCCCACAATGTTGTTAGAGCTCCGATGTCATTCTTTGATACCACTCCAAGTGGACGCATTTTGAACCGCTTTACCGCTGACATTTCCGTCACAGACAATGCAGTTGTTGGATCGCTCGCTGCTTTAATCCAGCTCTCAGTACTGGCCTTGGTGCAATTTTTCACTTTGGTGGTCAACTTGCCAATCATTTCGATCGTTCTTTTGATTCTGGTTATCCTATTCAGAGGTTACCGTAATTGGTATATCCCAGCTTCCAGAGAGCTTAAACGTCTTGAAGCCGCTTTGAAAAGCCCCATTGTGTCCCACTTCCAAGAGTCTATCGAGGGAGTCGAGACTTTGAGAGCTTACAACGAGAAGGACAGATTTACACATCTCGGCAGAAGAATGTTGGACGATTCTACAAGAACATCGTTCGTTGCGCTGAATGTCAGTAATTGGTTATCTGTACGGCTTCTGGCATTATCGGCTAATGTTGTCTTCGTAACCACTTTATTGTGTTTTCTCTCGTTGTTCACATCGAAGCCACTTTCTCCTGGTATGGTTGGTTTCCTTGTGACCTATTCAGTGTCTTCGACACTGCTTTTGGACACAATCATACAGCTTTCGTCCAACGCTGAAGTGAATTTGGTCGCCGTTGAAAGAATTCTTGAGTACATGGATATGAAACAAGAAGCTCCCGAAATCATTGAGGGCCACAGACCCAAGCGTGATTGGCCACCTCGGGGATCTCTTGAATTTAAAGAGTATTCCACAAGCTATAGGCCCGAACTTCCCAGAGTGTTGAATAACCTCAACCTCACCATCAAACCAGCTGAGAAAATTGGAATTGTCGGTCGTACCGGAGCTGGTAAGAGCTCGCTTGCTCTGGCAATCTTTCGTATCATTGAGGCAAATGAGGGGGGAATTTCTATCGATGATATCGATACTAGCAAGATTGGCTTATATGACTTGAGAAAGCAACTCAACATCATCCCACAAGATGCTCATGCATTTGCCGGAACTGTACGGGAAAACTTAGACCCTTGGGGTAAGTATGACGATCAGGATTTGTGGAGAGTTTTGGAGTTGGCACATTTGAAGTCACATTTCGAAAATACTTTCAACGATGGTGATAAACCTGAACAAGAGAGTGAGGGACACCTGGATGGGCTTGACGTGAAGATCCTGGAGGGTGGCTCAAATCTCTCCGGAGGACAAAAGCAGTTATTGTGCTTAGCTCGTGCTCTTTTGAAGCTGTCTCGAATTCTTGTACTTGATGAGGCAACCGCTGCCGTCGATGTCCAAACGGATAAGATTATTCAAGAGACAATCAGAAATGAATTCAAGGACCAGACCATTCTCACTATTGCGCATCGTTTGGAAACTGTCATGGATAGTGACAGAATATTAGTGCTTGACAAGGGAGAAGTCAAGGAATTTGATCATCCTCAAATACTCTTGGACGATAAGTCGAGCGAATTTTATGCTTTGTGCAAAGAGGCGGGAGGTTTGATTAGCTAGTCCAATAGATTCAATTTAGACTACCATTCCATTAAGACGTATCCTGGTGGAGTCTGTAACCTTTTGTTAAGATATTTACAAAACCATGCACTTTCTCCACCACCTCAACTGTAGCGGTTAAAAGATCATCTCACTCATTGAGTAAGGCAAGAAGGACGCAAGTCTGTCGTAAGCACGAGCACCTGTTCCACAATAAACCACAGACGGTGCACGACCGTTATAAAAGATCAAGTCGTATAGCGTGTGATACAATTCACGGAGGCCCTTGTTCTTGAATGAGCTGCCCATAGGTCTCAGGCTAGCTTGGGATTTTTGAAAGTCGGACCCATAGGCACTGCGCATCTCTTCACTCCAGGAGCGGACCTCCGCCTCCACAATCAGAGGAACGCTTTCAGCTCTAGCAGCCTTGGAAGGAGCTAGATTGAGGTTCCCCAAACGGACCTGCGTGACATTGATATTCTGAGGCCTTAGTTCTTTGGAGAGTGTGCTAAACACATCTTTCATGCTGTTTTGTAGAACCGACTCTGGACCGTGATATGGCATCCGGAGAGAGCTGACGATGCTGGGCACAATGGCGATTATGCTACTCTTTTGTTCACGCACAATATCCAAAAGACCCAGCGATAAAAGCCTGGTAGTAACGGTTAGCCGGAAAAGCAGTCTTTGCCAAGTTGAATCAGGTGTGTTTTCAAGAGGACCAAGTGGAAAATATAGGGTGGGGGCGAAAACAACCGCTGAGAGTCGAAGGCGATGGGCCTCCGCTCCGGGGAATGGAACAACGCCAACATCTAGCACTTTCCTGAACTTTCCTAGTTGCGCCTCGTACGATTCTTCCATCAAGTTCACGTAATTGATATCATCGGTGATCTGGTTTGATTGGATGTATTTGTAGTCCTTGTCATCAAGGACAGTCAAGTAGACAATGAATCCTCTTTTCTCGAAGTCCACCGCAATTAACCGAGTCATTGGCTCTGTAGGTGAGCCGACCACAACAACAACCTCTCGGCGGGCCCCATTTGCTAGTTTCGGTACCCTTCTTCTCGGTTTGTTCCTTATCCGTGGTTCTCTTACGCTTCTGTAGATCAAGTAGCTCGTTGCTGTAACGGACAAGGCAAACGCGGAGAGAGCAGCAGTTTTGTGTTTTTGTATTTGATGGATCAATCGGTCTACAGCTTTCTCCCGTGGTTCAGGAGCTGGAGCTGTGTCTGATCTTAGGATATTGAAGAACTTCAGGTGGAGGACCGACTCCAGATCGGGTAAGGATTCATGGACTGCCTGCAGCAGGGATGATAAAAAGCTGGATGCTGATGTATAAGCCAGCCTGAGAGCCTCAGTAGCCGCTTGAACTGGTTCTGCTACCATAAAAGATGTGGTTGAATGATAGTTATACAGTAATCCGATAAGAGTGCGAGCCAAAAAAAACTGCCGGCCCCAGGAATCGAACCTGGGTCTGTTCGGCCACAACGAACTGTACTGACCACTATACTAGACCGGCGTTACTATTCATGGAAAGGGTAGGCTAATATATGAGCAGCAAATTTTGCTGCGTCTCCAAAACAGAACTTTTGATGCTTTCATAATATTATTTGGCGTCTGCTCAGTAGATCCACCAATTTTGAGCTTTCTAGGGCCAAAACTGAGAGAGCTACAGCTAATACTAGTAAATACAAGCTTTTAAGTGGCGTTTGAGCCTCCAAAATCTTCTGAATCTTCCCTTAGAATCGCTCTAAGTTTTAACCATTCAGTATTTCCCGTATTACTGTTGTCAATTGAGGTTAAGTCGATGGTTGCAAATAGCCACCGAATAGTTACTGAGCTCCGTTTCGAGCTCCTTCGGTTCGAAAAGAAGGAATTGGCATTTCTCATCAAGAAATCGATTGAAAGAACTCAATTCAACACCCCAACTGCTAAGAACAAGGTGAGAAGCCATAGTCACTCTGGTATCGGGTTAATTGAGAGAAGGTTTTTTGCTATATAATCTCGGTTTATAGTTTTTAAAGCTGAGGAGTAGGTGAGTGAGACACCGATCCCGAAGCGACCTTTAATCAACGTCTTCTGCAAAAAAAAAAAAAACCAATCTTCTCGTGACGTTGCAGATATTGGTTTGATTCTTAGGCTATAGATTGATTCGCGCACGCCTGAACTTCACTATATAATCGCAGGGCATCGCTCTTTTGATTTTTTTTCTCTACGTTCATAGACAACGATTTGTTTTCGAAGCCTACACAATGGCATTTCGCCAGGTCTCCGGGCCAATGCTTCGGGGAAAGTCTCCGGCCGTAATAGCGGAAACGCAGCGGACGAATCCTTCCGTTTTTACTTTAGCGTCGAAGATCTAAGGTTGTGCTTTTTGGTAATGTCTGTCGAATTTTTGGTTGGATGAAGCTTCTTGTTAAGCAATGTTTCCCGCTTACGTAAAGCCATGACAGCCGGCTCCTTTGAGCGTTAGGTTGTTAGGTGGTGGGCGCCGGTGATGTTGTCATCAAGGTCTGGTTTGTTCAATGAATGGTTTGGCTTAAGGGCATTGCCAGGGTTCAACATTTCTGAGACGCTTTAGTGATTCCTCGTTGAGTTTTGTCTTTCGGCAATGGGACGGTGCGTCCTAAACGATAGGTATAACAAATGGTCAGTATCTGGCTAACCCAATGGAGCTCACTCTTGTCTATGAACGTCACTCTTACTATAAGCTCGATGTCTGGGAGGAGATATTTGCACAGTCAAATGTGCCGGGCTTCATTCTGTAGATGTCATTTGGGTACGGTGGTTTTGAGACATGCTTGTTTCATGATGAAATACCAAAGCAAACATAGAGTCAAGCTCTGAGAGGATTTCACAGTCTGGAATGATGGCTGGTTTTCTTTCGTGGACGAGAGTTGCATAAATTTTCTGACTAGACATGTTTCAAAATCACTTTATTGAAATGGTAGGCTACAGAATGCCAATGACAATTTAAATAAAACCTATAGTACAGCATCGAGAAGCAAACATGCGCGAGATGTGAGGCAGTTTAGTCAACCTGCCAATGGCTGGTCATAGCAGAGCTAGAGTCGCCAGACAATTCAGCCATGTAAAGCAAAAGCGTAGTGCCCATCTTGACCCAATTCCAGAATTGCCAAGGATGAACAATGATCACCATGTCTTTGGGAGCACCAGCCCACCAGCCCCAAAGCTTGAGCTCGGTTCCGAGCTCGCCGTTATACAGAAGCATCATGTGAGTGTAAACTGCGATGATGATGCATGGAGAATAAGCGTAAATCAAGCTGATAGTAGTAGAAGGCGCCGATCTAGGTCTGTTGAGACGGGGCACCTTGCGCTTCTCCTCCTGCTGCAGGGAGATGGGTGAGATGGAGCTCAGCGACGACAGGCGAGAACCTATATGGGGCGGCGTTCTAGGCGGCGAATAGGGTAGCCTATGGTACAAAGACGGAATGATCTTTGTGGCGGCGTAGAATACACCAATGCGATAGGCCAAGTTGACTACAAGTGGCAAGGTAAGTTTCTCGGCCAGGGAAAGAAAGAAATCCCAGATGGTCTTGAAGGAACCAGGCAAGTTGTGGGCCAAAAACGGAAGCACCGCCAGGATGGTGTTGGTGAGGGGCGGAGGAAGTCTGGGGATCTCGTTTTGCAAGTTGATCTTCGTTTGCGTGAACAAATGGGTAAGTGTCTCGGCGGCGTTGTCGGAGAGAAGCGGGAACATCTCGTAAATGCAGCGAACAATATAGGCAAACAACAAGGAGGACTCGATCATGGAGCCTTTGCCCAGAACGATACCGTAGAAGCCAAGGCCCACAGTTAATGTAAGGAAGGACCCAAGGAGCGATGCCGAGCCCAATTCAATGGTGAAGGGCAAAACGTAAATTCTGTACAAAAAGTACAAAGCTCCTGTAATGGTGAAGCCCGAACCAATCAAGGATACAAAGAGCCAGCTGTCAGACTTGTACAACGTGAGCCACTGTAACGTCTGCGACACCGCCTGAAGCAAAAGCAAGGAGCAGAAGCCCTCGGCTATGGTGAACACTGGGGTCAGATGCACCAAAATATAGCGCCATATGGCCACAACAGTGAAGTGGCGCTCGTTCTGACACCACAGAATCACGTACATCAAGATGCTCGGTAGGAAGACATGCTGAGCGTAATACAAGGGCACAAGGAGCTTGAGCACAGCATAACGACGGGCCAAAAGGCGTATGGATGTCAAGATGAAATATAACAGTAGGATGGTGAGGGAGTATGTGAGGCCACAGTCAACGCCACCTAGGTCGAACGCTAGTGGCACCGTGAGCACTATAAGCGCCAAGTAGGCTATCAGAAATAGCGACTTGACGAGGTTTCTTACTCGACGCATAACAAGGTGTAGTTGGTGGTGATGTAGGGAGAATTTGCTGTGCAGGCCTCCCGAGCGGTCCTAGGTTTCAGAAGAACGGGTGTATAGAAAAGGGGGCTGGCAGTCTGTCAAAACAGAAATTTAGTAAGTGATTTGATAAATTTCTCTTGATAAAACAAGGGCGAGGTGTTTGCGGTTTTGAGGGAGAGGCGTGGCACTTTAAAGACTTCGTGGCCTCATGGAAATGTAGATCTCCATTAAGCCTGTGCGACCAGCACAGTGTCAAATAAAAATAACATTCAGGCTACCAGGTGGCAGGGGACAATCAGATGTAATCAGATATAATCAGAATAGCTTTCAGACTGCTATAGGCTGGTGACCCAAACTGAGAGCTATGGTGCAAATCAGCATGACAGGTGTTTGCAGCCAGTTGACGAGGAATGCACAACCGAGGACAAACCGTGATCGTCAAAATCAGAAGCTAAGAGTACAATAGAACAGAAATCAGGTTTTTCTCAATTGTAGAATTTAAAATTCACTTGCATCGAGTTTCTCCTGGACGTATGAAGTTCTGATCTGAGTAATCAAGGATACTGAGACCGGGCGGCTAACTGTGGAGGATCCACAGATAGGACGCGCCTTAGAGTAACCCCTGGAGATCGCCCAGTTTGGTAATGTGTCTTCCACACCATTGATATTTTGATATCGTACGCAATTGCAGCGAATTTTTATTGGAATCATGTGGAGCATATTGGAGATTTTACGTAGCGTCAGAAACACCTTTGTATGCATTTGCGCCACAGACAGTGCTACCAGAGCAGCACAAGATGAGTTCAAGAAGGGCGATACTCTCTTTGATGAGTTTTGTGGTTTTTGTCTTCTAGAGAAGAAGAATTCTATTGAGGAAGAAGCGATTACCGCCTTACAGCTTTGTCTCTTTTCGGTGTAGTTTAAAGCCTATCTCAGATACCATCCATTGGCTATGCAATCAGGGTGTCTGACCCTACCATTTCGTGTATAACCTCTTTTTAAGTGTAAACCTCAGCGATCTTGTATTTTTTATTGGAATCGGGTGCTATCTGCTCAATGCTGAACGATCGGTATTCCTAAACTGGACCTAGGCCAAACCACAATTATATGTAAGAAGTAGCTTCCAAACCAGCAAGTCAGTTAAGAATTGCCCAAAACAAACACTTTGTTTCAATTAATATGGCAATTTTCTTTTTTGGTACATGTTTGAGCTTTTCTCATAATTTCTCTCAGTCCATTTGCAACCATTATTTCTCATCGCACCGTCCATTTCCAGCACTAACTACGGATCTGAGTTTAAAAAAAAAGGAACTTTTTATTCCAGATGATCTTAACTCTATTGCAAAACATCCTTAAAATTCAGAATCAGATTATCCATTATTCACCTTGCTTGCAGCCACTTTATCGTAGGGTCCTGCACTTCCTCATCTCATCACCTTCACTACTAGCTACTTCCCAAGATGCCCAAAAGAGACGCCAACGAGGGCTCTACTAACGGTTCGAAGCGTCCAAGACACAAATATGGTAGACAGGAGCTAAGACAAATTAAAAGGACCACTAGGCGAGATGCTGATGAGCAAGAAGAAGAGAATGCTGAACAGTCCGAGCCTGA